CCGCAATGCTCTTGCACTCAATGCCGCCACATGATTTAATCGGGTAAACGAAGAGGCGGGACACGACCTGGGGGAGACCAAACAATGAGAGGCGGCTCACTGGTTCTGTGTGCGACTGCCGGCGTCCACAACCGTGACCAGCGCTGACGAACCGCAACCGGCACACTTGAATTGATGTAGTTGTAGAGTGCCGCCGCTGTATCAACGCGCGAGCGCGTGTGGGTGAGCAGACGCTGCGTGCAAGGCATGCAGCACGAACATGCCACGCCGTCGCGTGTCCATGCCCCAACCTCCCCCCTGATCATGAAGCTACCAACAACACACCTGGAAACAGCAATAAAGAGGCGGCCACGAGCGCCTCCTCTGCCCTGTGAATCCAAAACTCCCACTGCTCCAGCGCCATGATGCTCCCTTCCAAGTCCACTACTGAGTGGTGCGCAGAGAGAAAAAAATGATCCAAAAAAAAAAACAATTTTTTTTTTTTTTTCAAATGAAATTGACGCACACACACCTCTTTTGTGATTTGGACTGGAGAGGAACAATTGCGTGACGATGCATGGATCATGTCCCCATCGACAAGCCCTGTGCATGCCCACAAAAACTGCAAAGCACGCCCTGCTGGTCACGTTTATAGGTCACGTTTGTAAAGTTAGGTCGATTGGATCTATAGGGGTCCCAGCCACCTTTGACAACAAACGCGGGCCGCTCGCACACCTAAAAAAAAAAAACACAAAACACAAAACACAACAAAAAAAGAGCTGCACACACCATTAAAGACAAAAAGACCAAGGGGAAAACCGTTTGAAAACAAACAGAGCGGTGGATGTGGAAGATCAGAGAAAGGAGGGAAAGAAGGAGCTGAGAAGGAAGGAAAAGGAGACCGAGACCGAGACCGAGACGACCTCAAGTGCTAAATCCGAACAAACATGCTAGGGAGCTGGACGTGCTTGGTGTTGTGATGGGACATGGAACAGCTGCTCTACTGTTCCTTCTTGTACTCGAGCTTTTGGACATCAGCGTCTTGCTTCTCGGCATTGTAAGTGTAGACATAAGTCACAATGGCATCCGACTAAGGGTGTGTATGTGTGTGTGTGTGTGGGCCACAAGATGAGACAAGCCTTTGGGCGACGTTCGGCAGTGAGCAACGGGGGGAGTCGCGGGTCTTGGTACTTGCCTGCACGTCCATAAGGGCAAAGCTGGGAACGCTGCTGGCCGAGGTGTTGTTGAAGGCACCGGTGGCCGAGCCAGGGTTGATGTAATAGCGACCGTGCGCAGACCAGGCCTCAAACTTGTGCGTGTGGCCCGTAATCAGGACGTTCACGTCGAGTTGCCGGGCCTTGAGCTCAAGAGCATCATGATCACCCCATGGCACAATTTGATGCCCGTGGCAAAGACCAATGCGCCAGCTGCCAATTGTCACGACCTTTTGCTCCGGGTATGAAGACTACACCGCGATCACCCACACAGACGGACGCGCATGCATCAGAACGATTTTTTTCCTTTCTTTTTTTTTTTTTCTGGAGGAAACGGGAGACAAGCGGAGGACGAGCACGAACAACTGGCCAAGCAAGCTTGGGCACAGCGTGACCGCGAGACAAAACTTGGCAGTAAACAGGGGAGCAAGGGCAACACACCTCGTCAAAGTCGCCGGCTGTGACATGTACGTCCGAGGCCAAAGTCTTGAGGTAATCAAACATGTCACGGCTCACCAAGTTGCCCGTGCACAAAATGTGTTGAATCTTGTTGGGCACCTGTGAGCAAGCAAAGGCACCAAACGACGAGAAGCGGGTCAAGAATATAGCCGCCTCAGACGAGGAAGAAATGGGAAATGTGGCTCCGTCACACGGGCCCAGCGAGCACCTCACCAGCAGTGCCTTGAATTTCTCGGGCAGGTTGCTGGCCCGATGAGGGATGTGCATATCACCAATGATCAGGACAAGCTAGGGCGGTGTACATGATTGCAGATAAGAGCCGTTGCCATATCACACAAAGAAGATTCCCATTCAATCCAAAACTTGTGCTGCCCTCGTGCCGCAACCGCCGGTGCCGCACTTACCACCATCACGCCGGTCTCCAGAGGTTCAAACTAAAATGATCACCGAGATAGAGAAGAAGCAAGCCTGATTGACTAGGTGAGGTGCAAACAGAGAGAAACCATCATGACCCCATTGACACCTCCCTCCCCCAGATGCCAAGATGCGTGTCCTGTGTAGAAATCATCCAAGTGTGCTCATGACGGCTGCTCTGGTGCTTTCCTCGCTGAGCCATGGACAAGCTGGACATGAGCACGCAAGTCCTCTCCTTACCCCTTCCCAGCACCTGCTTTAACCAAACACCACCATCATCATCCCAACACACACCACCACTTTTGCCGCCCTCAACCCCTCCAGCACACTCCCCCGATCGCCACAGATAGCGCAACGCCGAACACCGAGCCGACTCACTGACAAGCAAGAGGAAAGAGAGAAAAAAGAATAAGAGAAAAGATCCAACAAAATTGCTGTTGTGACTGACTTTTCGATTTTTTGTTGTTTTTTTTTCTTTTCTTCTTTTTTTTGTTTTTAAATTTCAAAGAGGAAACGACAATAAGGAAGCGAGAGGTGGATGATGTTCATGACGACAAGACTCCGCATAAAGGACCGGCATGGGGACGCACACTGGGGCAGACAGGACAACAGGCAGGCCCATAGACATGGATTGACAGACAAAAAAAGACCCAAAGTGGATGGCCACACGGTTCTCGTTCCAAAAGGGGTCAGTTTCTCTCCGCGTCAAACCTCAGTGCTTTGCGCATGGTTCCGGAATATACCGCCAAATGCTTGCTGGTCTGCTGAAACCGTCGCCTTCTTGGGTTAGGACCAAGATACAAGAACAGTCACCCTTCGTGCGCCATTACTATTTTTGATCCAAAATGTCCTCAAGGCGCTGGATAAAGCGACGCGCTCGCTCCACATCAACCACATCAGCGCGCTGCGCCTTGGGCTTGTACATGTGGAAGTAATCACCCGTGCGTTCCGCATAATTTTCATCCACAGCAAGCATCACAACCTAGGATACCGGGCCGTGTACACAAAAGGTCAGGACGGGCAAGGCACCAAACCAATCCCCATGAATAAACACCAAGAGGGAGTAAGAAGGCATCGGCACATCACATGTGTTGTTCCCAACTGGGCAACGGCGTCCCAGCTCGGTGCATATGCACATACCGGAAGGGCAGCTTCATCTGGGGTTTGAAAAATAGCTTTCATAAAGGCATCGACCAAGATTTTGAGGCCTGCTGGCGCATGACGCGCAATGTCAGTTGCCACGGGGCCGGGGCAGATGCTGTGCACGGATACCTGCCCACGCAAGGTTTCCGTCCAGTACGTCGCCACGGTGTTGACGGCCAGTTTGCTGCGCGCATAATATGTCATGGATTCACCATAAGCATATGTCACGGGATCGAATAGATGCTCCAAATCCAGGGGCGGGCTGGCACGGTGCGTCTCGCTGGTCACAACCACCAGGCGTCCGCCGGCAGCCAGTAGCCCGTGCTCCACGAGCAGCTTGGTCAGAACGTAATGACCAACGCAGTTGACGCCCAACCCCTCCTCAAAGCCTTGTGCCGTCAGCCGCTTGCCCAGCGGTGCAAGCCCTGCATTGAGAATGACGGCATCAAACGCTTGCCCGTGACGTGCGTCGCTCTGTGCAGCCACTGCGGCCTTGACGCTCTGGAGATTGCTCAAATCCAAGGCCTGCACACGCAGCCGTGCAGCAAGCAATTTGGGATCTGGCAGTGAGCACTGCTCGATTCCAGCTGCCTCAAAAGCGATGGATTCGGCAAGATCATGAGGAGTGCTTCGGCTGGTAATGGTGACTGTTGCGCCAAGGCAGAGGAGTCGACGGGTTATTGCGCGGCCCAGACCCCGATTGCCACCCGTCACCAAGTAGTGTCGGCCAGCTGCGGCCTTGCTCTCAGAGATTCGTGTCAACATGGCCGGCATGCCCTGAGTTTGAAGCGCGTGCAGCAGAATCAACGTATGAGCAGTGGGACACGTGCATCCGAAACACGGCGAAGAAGCCGCGCTAGGAGCCACCGACTCAAAAAAAAAAAAAAAAAAAAAAAAAAAAAAAACGATCTGCCACTACCAACCGTATCTGCTTTGTGAGACATGATGATGCCCTCAATGGTTTGCCAAGCAATGCTATCCAAGTTGCTCAAATCGCTCCAGTCGCGATGCACGCGGTGGGAGTAGGCCTCGTACCCGTACAGGGCCACACTCACCACCACGAGCGCCACTGCGATCATGATGCGGTCTGCGCTGACAGTACCAGGGCTTGGACTTCGTTTACGCGCCTCAGCCTCGCGGCGCGCTCGCGTGGGAGTCTCATCCCCGGCCTGCCCGGCCGCCTTTGCCATCTTGCTGCTCCCGCGACGCCACGCACCCACAAACACCCGCGCGCACACACACACACACAGTAAACGCAGACTGCCCAAGAGGCTCACAGGTTACCGCCGCGTGCGATGAAAAACCCTTTTTGACGTCAAATGCTGAATCTGAAAATTTAAAAAAAAAAGTTTGAAATTAACATGTCATGTACATGTACATACGTGTAAATAATCCTGAAATTTGAAAGCCGCGTTTATGTAAAATTTTAACGAAGAAGAAGCGCACAAATTGGACTTTACAGTGGATGTAATAACGTAAAAAACATGGTTGTAATCACCTCATCATGCATGACATCATCATCATTTAAATTATTTCATTTTCAACTTTACAACCATGAGCTGTGCTGCGAGAGCCACGCTGACGGTCGGCTCCCAGGGTCGAACACCGGCTCTTTGGCTCGGACGGGTGGGATGGGGTACCATGCTTCAGGTTCAGCTGAAGCTGGCTACAAAATATGGATCACGTGTCGCTCAGGACGCGGCCAAGCACCAGGTACGAACATGCCCCATTCACTGTGTGCCTGCGCATCGGATGGTATCGTCTCAAGCCGGTGACCAGCAGGACAGGCTGCTGTTGATGGAGCATCCGCACACTTACACAGCAGGCCGCCGACAAACGCTGAGTGAACCGGAGCGGCGCCTGCTGACCCAAACTGGTGCCGAAGTGTTTGAGGTCAGTTGCCGTTAAGTACACAGGTCTCTTCTCGAGTTTTCACCACCGCCTCACAGTACACACACACTCACACACACGTCTTGTAGGCCAAGCGCGGTGGTCAAATGACCTACCATGGCCCTGGTCAGATCGTGGGCTACCCCATCTTCAACACTCGAAACCATGATGTTTGTGGCTGGCAACGGTTGTTGGCCCGTGCACTGGGCAACACTTTTTTTGCAACACGCCCCACTTACATCGTGTCACTGTGACGCAGGGCGTGCGGTGCTTTGTACACCGCATCGAGGAAGCTATGATTCACACCTGTGCCACCTTGAATATTGACGCGGATCGCAGTCCCCACACCGGTGTTTGGGTCGGCAATGACAAGATTTGTGCAATTGGTGAGCTGTCGCCAACAGTGAACCAGGGGTTTTGGTTTGTTTGTTTTTTTCTTTTGTGCACCCTTGAATGCACTAGGCTCATTTCTGACGCCAGGTCTTCAGATTAAGCGTGGCATTAGCCTACACGGGTTTGCGCTAAACTGCAATACGGATTTGCGCCGATTTAACGCCATTGTGCCATGTGGCTTGGCCGATCGCGGTGTGACTTCACTAAGCCAGCAATGCGGGAGACAAGGTTCGTCGACCTCGAGCGGTTGCGCTTCAATTTTATTGCAGTGCCATGTGCTTTTAACCTTCTGTGGGAACTGACCACATGCAGTGGACATTATCGAGGGACGCCAAAGGCTTTTGGAGGCTTGGCAGCAAACATTTCCGGCGTGGAACCTCGAGGCAATAGATATTGCAAGCGAAGTTGCGCAGGCTTCGGGCAACGTAGAGCGCATTACAGAATTGATTGAAGCCATTTGAAGCCATCCGATTAGATTTCCCGACGCATGCTCACTTGTCTCCAAGTTGCTGTGGCAACGACGATGCTGATGAAGTGCAATCAATTACTCAAACAGGAAAGGCGGTGCGAGTCACACCTAGGGATGAGAACGTCAAAAGTCATGGTCCTAGACCCAAGTCGATGCGCAAAGCGTTTAGAACACAGCCCAGGAAAGAATCAGCAGACCCTCCAGTGGCCTCAGCTTCTCCCCAGCCTTAGAGGGGTCGCCAGCTCCTGCCCATTCGAGCAGGAATTCGTCATAATCCGCAAGTAACACGCGAGAAAAACAAATCCATCCAAAGTGTCTCTTACCAAGCTTATTTCTAAGCCGCTGAATCAATTTTCTGCGTGTGATTTTCCGGAAACATGCCCTCGCATTCACCCAATCGTCCAAACAGCCAACCTTCGTCCTATCGTAGAGGCGTGTTGTGAGTTTGGTGATGTAATAAGACTCGTATATAATGGCAAAACCGCGTCCCCAGAAGGAAAGTTTAAGCCCAAAACGCTGACCTCGGCATCTTCTGGATCTGGGAAAGGTAGAACTACAACTTGATCGCCTCGAGTCAGATTGAGTTCATCGTCCCCCTATCAGGAATTGTCGACACAGATCGACCCATAACACACCGTTTGTCGTAGGTCATGAATATAGCGCGCCGGGTTTGAAGAAAGCTGAATACACCATGCGGGTCCAGGCTCGGAAGTGTCCCAAAGCGTGGGCAAGGGGTATGTGCAAGAACGTATGGGCTTGGACGCACCGTGGCCTCGTAGTTGTGAGTGACAACTCGCAATTCGAGGGCATTTCTAGGTAATTCGACCGCAGCCGTCTCTGCCGCGATGGCGTTGCGGTTTGCGCTTGCTGGGGTAGAGGACGCCTCGTTTGAAGTATCTGGGCTCAAGATGTGACTGCAAAACAGCTGAAGCTGTTCTAATGCCTAATGCAAAAGGCCGCAAAGAGGAGATGTTGTTTCCCCATTCGCAGCACAGAGGCAAGGAACAGCAAAAAGACAGGAACATTCACGTGTCTCGCACGCGCTCAAGCGCTTAAGCGCTCACGCACTCACTCATCACACAGAAAAGGACAGAAAGGCATGGAAAGACACGGTGACAGGAACGTTAGCATAAAAATGAACCTGACGCACAACTCACCGATTGACATGCACCGTAAAAGATTGCTGTAGTGTTGCAGTGTGACTCGAGTGTAGCCGAGTAGAAAGGGATGCGTCTATGAAGGAGGATGAGACCTTGTTTAAGGCCGGTACATATCCGGCAAACACGGGACTGATGCTAGTGAACCTACTGGTCGTAAAGACTAGGCAAGGCCTCATGGCATTCGCGATCGATAAACTCAAAACTTTTGCGTGCCTCGTCATAGGCATCGTTAGCCTACGTTGCAAAAAAAGATATTGGAAAGCACCAAAG